CGACTAATCCGGACTCAACCCGCGTCGCGCACCTGAAAATGGTGGGTGAGTCTCCCAGTGGGGGCTGCTGCGTACACAAGGTCTCGAACTCAAGATCTTGTTTAAGCTGAAACAAGCCGCTTACCACTTGATCCAACCCCTCGTTGGTATTGCTCATTGTTTCTATGTATAATATATCCTCCCCTTATAAATATGGTTGCTCATGTCTTAAAAAAAAAAATAGAATAAAAAAAAAAAAAACATGTAAAGCCCACAAAAGCTTTTGTACCTCGGATTAAAGGGCATGCCGGACGTTCTAGTACCATCCCAAACCACCTAATATAGTTTCTTCTCCTCTCTCTCACTTATCTTTTATTTTTTTTTCCTCTAATTACTATTTTATCATAAAATTTCTATTATTAGAGATTTTCCTCTCTTTATTAGTTACTTCTTCACTTCATAAATTTATTAGTGTTCTCTAGAAGCTATTAGTTTTGAACTTTTCTTCAGGAAATTTCAAACATGTTGGATTTTGCCTCCTTTGTGGACCTTGACTCTGTGTTCCCCTGCTTTTAGTCATCTCTTGGATAAAAAACTTGTTGATATTTCAATCGATGACATTCAACAATTTCAGCAATTTGTAAATGTATACAGTATATATATCATATTATTCCTGATCAATTGCCTCCTTGATGCTCAACTCCGTGCTAACCTGATGGCTTTGCATAATCTCTCAGCAGCTCTCTGTTTCGTTGGATTAGCACTGATTACCATATTTGTGCCTTGCTTTGGTTCTGCTGCGCCAAGTCCAACCTACTCCCAAGACTCACCTGAAGCCTACCTAAATGCGCACAACACCTATCGTGCAGCGGTTGGTGTTCCACCGATAATTTGGGACAAGAAGGTGGCGGCGTACGCACAAAACTACGCCAATCAAAGGATCAGAGACTGCCAAAAGGTGCACTCCGGTGGACCTTACGGCGAGAACATTGCAACCAGTAACGGAGAACGCTCGGGAACAGATGCAGTGATGATGTGGATTAAGGAGAAGGATGACTATGACTTCGAATCACACACCTGCGCTGAAGGAAAGGTATGCAGCCATTTCACTCAGGTCCTCTGCTCGATCCTCCTTGGGTGTGCAAAAGCACGATGCAATAGTGGCGGGACTTTTGTCATTTGCAACTACGACCCCCCTGGAAACTTAGTCGGTGAGCTTCCTACGTCAGAACCACCAATTGTTGATCCGGTGATAGAAGATATTCCCCTTCAAGGAAGAAAGAAGAGAACTATAGTGCTAGTTGGGTCAATTGTTGGGGCATGTGTTTTGTTTTTTGGTTTTGGTTTCTTTGTGTTCTTTTTTTGGAGAAAAGGGAAAGGAAGTGCACTTAATGAACTTGCCTTTAACGTGTCCTTTGGTGATGAACTAGGGAATGACATGGGACCTAGGGAGTTCTCCTATAATGAATTGTCTAAAGCAACAAAGAATTTTGCAGAAGAAGAGAAGCTAGGTGAGGGAGGGTTTGGATCAGTTTACAAAGGTTTATTGAGGGGTTCAAATTCATATGTTGCAGTTAAGAGGGTTTCAAGAAGGTCTCGACAAGGGATCAAGGAGTTCATTTCGGAAGTGAAGATTATTAGCAAATTGAAGCATAAGAACCTAGTGAAGCTTATAGGTTGGTGCCATGAAAAGGAACTACCACTTGTTTACGAGTTCATGCCTAATAGTAGCCTAGATTCCCATTTGTTCAAAGGAAGAAGCCTATTGCCATGGAAGCTTAGATTCAAAATTGTGCAAGGGTTGGCATCAGGATTGTCGTATTTGCATGAGGAAGGAGATTTCTGCGTGCTACATAGGGATATTAAAACAAATAACATTATGTTAGATTTGAATTTTAATGCTAAACTTGGGGATTTCGGGTTAGCTAGGCTGGTTGACCATGAAAAAGGATCACGAACAACTCTAATGGCTGGGACAATTGGCTACATGGCTCCAGAGTGTCATAGAACAGGTAAGGCAAGCAAGGAATCGGATGTCTACAGCTTTGGAGTTGTGGCACTTGAAATGGCATGTGGAAGAAGATCAATAGAGCCTAAATATGATGAAAATGAAGCTTCATTGGTGGCTTGGGTGTGGGAAGCTTATGAAAACCAAAGGCTTTTTGATGTGGTTGACAAGAAACTTTCTAAAGATTTTGACTTTAAAGAGATGGAGTGTTTGTTGATTGTTGGTTTATGGTGCGCGCATCCTATTGATACTGTGAGACCATCAATAAAGCAAGCAATGCAAGTGCTTAATTTTGATACAGCACTACCAAAGCTTCCAGGTAAGATAACTATACCCATGTATGATATTCCTTATATCCCAATCCTCAAAACAGGGGAGGCTTATTCATCCCACATGAGTATTACTGTACCTCGATGATTTTCATCTTATGCCTGGAACAAAATCGCTTCGATAATAAACTAGTTTAATTATTTTTTGGAATTTAATATATTTTATCTTATATAATATATGCTAGTGCATTTCCAGGATAATTGTTCTACATTTTTTCGATTCTTCTTCTTTAATATACGAGCTGATTATGCCTACAGGTCATCAACAAATAAAACAGCTTACGTAAAAGATCAAAGAAGTACAAACAAACCCATGTGGCATTCGCCTACCAACATGGAACCTATCTTATTATATTTTCCTTGGTCAAATCAAAATTCTCATTATCAAATAAAGTATGAACAACCCCATGTGGCGTTCTCCTACTAACAAAATGACAAAACCGTCAATGCTGACTTCCAACATCAAGTTGTCCATAAACCCCAACAGCCGGGTGGACTCCTTCCTTCATCTCTCTCTCTACCTAACCATTAGCATCTGGTGGGTATGGCGTCTATGAAGAAATTTATAGCTTTGTTCTTGGTGGCGGCGGTGTTGCAATGGGGAGGCAGCCATGCCCAACAACCATATGTCAACCAGCAGCAGCTGGCCTGCAATAACAACAACAACATCACTAAAGGTTATTCTTGCAACAGCTTCCAGAAATCTTGCCTCTCCTATGTCACCTTCCGCTCCACCCCTCCCTATGACTCCGCCGATACCATAGCTCACCTCTTAGGGGTCGATCCTAACCTTATCGCCTCCCTCAACAGGTTCCCCTCCAAAACCACTGCTGTCCCTTCCAACAAGCTGGTGTTTGTCCCCGTTAATTGCTCCTGCTTTGGCAACTTCTACCAGCACAACTCCTCCTACCTCATTAATAAAGGGGATAGTTATTTCACCGTCTCCAACAACACTTACCAGGGTCTCACCTCTTGTCAAGCTATGGAGGCTCAGAACCCCTTTGACCCGCTGAAACTCATGGTAGGCGCTCACCTGCTTATTCCACTCCGATGTGCCTGTCCGACTTATTACCAGAATGCCTCCGGTATAAATTACTTGCTCACCTATATAGTCACCCAGGGGGATACCGTTTCTGCAATTGCTAAGAAATTTGGCGCTGATGCGAAAAGGGTGATGGCTGACAACGACCTCTCAATTGATACTCTATATCCATCCACGCCAATCCTGGTTGCTTTAAGTAATCTTACCATCCAGGCTCCTGAAACAAATCCCTCTCCTCCGAATGAAAGAAAGAAGAGGACAGAATTAATATTTGGGTCAATTATTGTGGCATGTGTTCTGTTTTCCGCCTTAGGTTTCATTCTGTTCTTTCTTTGGAGAAAGGGGAAAGGAAGTGCATTAGGTGAGGTTGCCTTCAATGCCTCCTTTGACGATGAATTTGGGAATGGCATGGGAGCTAGAGAGTTCTCCTATAATGAATTGTCTAAAGCAACAAAAAATTTTGTTGAAGAAAAGAAATTAGGAGAGGGAGGGTTTGGATCAGTTTATAGAGGTTTCTTGCGGAGTTCAAATATTGATGTTGCAGTTAAGAGGATTTCAAGGAGATCTAAACAAGGGATCAAGGAGTATACATCGGAAGTGAAGATTATTAGCCAATTGAGGCACAAGAATTTAGTCAAGCTTATTGGTTGGTGCCATGAAAAAGAACTTCTACTCGTATACGAGTTCATGCCTAATGGCAGCTTGGATTCTCATCTCTTTAAAGGAAGAAGTCTATTGCCATGGAATCTTAGATTCCAAATCGTGCAGGGCTTAGCATCAGCATTGTTGTATCTACACGAGTTTGGTGATTTTTGTGTGCTACATAGAGATATTAAAGCAAGCAACATTACGTTGGATTTGGCTTTTAATGCCAAACTTGGCGATTTTGGGTTAGCTAGATTAGTTGACCATGCAAAAGGGTCACGAACAACTCTATTGGCTGGGACCATAGGTTACATGGCTCCTGAATGTCATAGAACAGGCAAAGCAAGCAAGGAATCAGATGTTTACAGTTTTGGAGTTGTGGCACTTGAAGTTGCTTGTGGAAGGAGATCAATAGAGTCTAGATATGATGGGGATCAAGCTTCACTGGTGGCTTGGGTGTGGGAAGCTTACGGGAACGAAAGGCTTCTTGATGTGGTTGACAAGAAACTCTCTAAAGATTTTGATTTGCTAGAGATGGAATGTTTGTTAATTGTTGGCTTATGGTGCGTGCATCCCATTGATAGTATGAGACCATCAATCAAGCAAGCAACGCAGGTACTTAATTTTGAGGCAAAATTGCCAAATCTTCCTAATAAGATGCCTATGCCCAAGTATGATATTCCAAATATTTCAATCATCAAAACAAGTGAGCCATGTTCACCCAACATGAGTATTACTGTACCTCGCTAAATTTCTTAACATGCCTGCAAAAAATTGATTTGATAATAAACAAGTCTAATTATTTTTTGGAATTTTAAATATTTTTTCTTATTACATTGATTTTAATGTAATATGCTTGTGCATTTCCAAGAAACAATTGTTCTACATTTTCAATTCTTCTCTAATAGACGAGTTGATTATACCTACAGGTCATCAACAAATAAAACAACTTATGCTAATGCATTTCTTTGTTACTTAAAAGACCTAAGAAGCAAAAGCAATAACCATAAATTGTTAGTAAAGCCTTAAATACAGATAAATTGAGAGATAAAAACAAATCATAAAATCCTAAAGTAACAAATACTTAGCACAAAAAATTAACACACGACATTTAACTTGAAAAACTAGAAAACAACAAATCAAGAGAAAATCAAAACTTACTTATTTAACCAGGAGAAGCATAATACAACCCTAAATACAATCTTCATCTCTACACTTGCTAGTCAATAGTCCATTCTTTGATATTAAGGGTGACAAATAAGGCCTCTTACCACAAGGAATCATTCATTCTTAGCAGCTAATAGCCATCAATATCATGGGTGTGCAAATATTGTCTTAGATAGGAGAGCAATAATGACTTACTACTAGGACCTACGCCTTAGAAGTCACAAGCGATCAATGTTATGGGTGAGCATGGCATTTTGTTACTAGGAGCATTACGCTTTCATTGCCTGTATAAACAAAGTTTTACTAGTACGTATGACTTCTATGAGTGAGCAATATCATTTTGACAACTATGAGCCGTACTATGAAAAAAGCCTTCTCGAAGAAACATGACTATATACAATCCAATGTATGTCCTATAGAAGCCCCAAATAAAACCAACAAGAATCTTGCATATTAAACCCAACTTCTACTTGGAGACAAGACCCAAATGACCTTAGCAACCAAAATTGAATCTTAAATTTGTGGTAACAAACTCAACAAATTGACATCAAATTCAAAAATCAAATGGCATAAAAAAAAAAAAAAATATGCCCAAACTCAAGGGAAGCATAAATCTGGAATGTGTCCAGTGTATTTCACACCACATAATATGTTAGCCTTACTCTAGAAAATTGTGGTTCGCATCAGGGTACTGTTGCTTCAAGAAACCTTATGTCATGCCCAATTTCATGGATTAGCCATTCACATCTATGTTATGTTAATTCAATACACCCCAGGACACATCAATATTATAATTAGCCTCTTTTTGGTTCACATCAAGGTTGTGCTAAGCTAAACCTGATATCACAAAACAATATATGCCTTGCAACTATGAAATGTGAATGCAAAAGATTAGATACAAAAAATGCAGAGAATTTAACAGTAAAATCAAGGGAGTCAATTCAAGGGAAAATTTGAGGGAAACATAAACTTAAGCATACCTATAGATTCCAAATCAATGTTCAACAAGCATTTTACAAGCAGAAATAGTGATTTACTGCAAGGAGCTACTCATTCTTAGTAGTCAGTAGACATTGGTATTATGGGTGAGTAACAGACTTTCACTACTAGGAGCTGCTCATTCTAGTAGCCAGTAGCCAGTAGCCAGTAGTCAGTTATTAATGGCTAACAACAGCATCTTACTACTAGGAGTAACTCATTCTTAGATGCCAGTGGCCAACAATATTTAATAAGAACAAGAGCATTTTAATACTTGGAGTTACTAATTCATAGATGCCAATAGCATATATCAACATAAGAAGTCATTCATTCCAGAAAGCCATACCAACTCCTAGGAAACATGACCTCATAATGCCCACCAAATTTTTTCTACTTGCCAAAGGCCCTACTTAGAGACGGGAACACATATGATCTTCACAGTCAGGATTTGCAGATAAGTTAAAGTAACAAGCTGAAGCTAACTACTATTAATTACAAAAATCAAACAGCCCAAAATGTAAATTCATTATGTTTCAAGCCATATATATCACATACTAGCCTTGCTCACAAAAATTGTGGTTCACTTCCAATTTCTAACACTATTTGAAATGCAATTTCTATTTTTTTTTTTTTTTTATCGTCAAAGCAAAATTTTATTATGTTGGAGTACAAGGGGTACTCCTGGCCATATACATCACATTCTGCTATTACACAATTGAAACATCTATTGCTCTAGAACACAAATCAGGATGGGTAATCCAATCATACAATGAGAACCCGCATCCACTTAATCTATCCTTTAACCACAAAAAGGATTTAGTTTGAATTACCTCCACTAATCTGTCAATATCTGTCTCCACCCTATTAAAAATCACTCTATTTCTCAGTTCCCAAAGATGCCAAGTGACTGAGATGAACAAAAAGGACCAACAGCTTGCATTCTGTCATAACGCCACCCCTGAGTAAGTTGCCTAAAAGCCTCTTTCACACTACCGCAAACTGCTGAATGAAAGCCCCACCAAGCTAAAATCTTCATCCACACATTGTAAGTAAATGAGCACTGCACAAATACATGATCTGCATCTTCCATGGCTTTCCCACAAAAAGAGCAGCAACTGTTATCACCATCAATGTTAATCCCTCTTGAATTCAATTTCCTCTCTGTTGGCAACCTATCCAGAAACAAACTCCAAGCAACAAGAAAATTATTCCAAATTGCTTTGCAGTAAACAACATCCATGACCCTTTGATCTGAATTCAAAAGGTCGTAAGCTTTTTTGGATGTGTACACTCCATTTCTATCAAATTTCCAAATCCTCTTATCCTCCTGTCCAGCCTGTATTCTCACGCCCTCTATTGACTCCAATAACTCCCCCTCTAATTCCCTCCCCAACAGAGTCTTTTTCCAATTAAATTTCCAGTGCCATTAGCTCTCCCTCCATTCCCCCATTTCCTACACTCTACTCTCCTTATTAGATGTGACATATTTCAGTCTTGGGTATATCTACTCTAAAACATGCCCCCCTAGCCATTTATCTGTCCAAAACCTAATCCTATTACCTTCCCTCAACTTCCACACAAAGCCATCTCCAATAATTCCTTGGACACCTCTACATCTCTACCAATTGATACAATATCCCCCCAGACTCTAGATAATCTCCTCCTCACAAACCCAATTTCTAATATTAGCCATGCATATCTGGGTTACATTAATTTGATGAACCCTAGGCTACACCAATTACAAATTAGCCTCCTAAAAATTTTCCTGGTTCGCGTGAGGCTTATGTTGATCTAATAAACATTGCAAATTAACAAATTCTGTGATTTAATAAACCCAGAGCAGACCAAATGTCACATATTTTCCTTGCTACAATTACCCAGCGCTTGAATTGAATACAAAATTTATAGAGAATCGAACATTAAAATCAACAAGAAAGGCATATCAAGAAAGCAATCACTTACAGAGTTACATTACCCAGTCTATGGCTAGAAATATCGTTCGATTGTCCGTGAGAAACGAAACCTTAACTTGATTTCGCCTTCTAGGGTTCCTTCCATCGTATATCGAAGGGAGAGGAGTGGAGGGGTAAGGTATACCCCTTGAACTAGGGCTTTAACGGGGAGGTACCGTTGTCCCCCGTCCTCTCTTCTCCAATTTAGGGGGCTGGGGTTTAAAAGGCTATAATTATTGTGCTTAAATTATGATTAAATGTCTAATTTTAATAGTTAATTTTCTTTTATGAACTGTATATCACTCGAACTCCGTCAAGCCACCCAATGCCCGCGTAGTTCGTTGAGGCGGGTGAACTGTTTACTAAATCTTAGTTGAATTTT